AGGGTATTTTTTTCATTGATTTCTAGAGAGAGTAGAAGAGAGGGGCAGAGGTAGAGAGAGGTAGAGAGAGAGAGAGAGAGAGAGAGAGAGAGAGAGAGACTGGTTGCCTCCCTGCACGAGCCCCGACCAGGGCCAGGGGTTGAACCTGCAATGGAGGTATGTGCCCTTGACAGGGAATCAAACCCAAGAGCCTTCGGTCCGAGGGCTGATGCTCTAACCACTGAGAAACCAGCCAGGGTGAGAGAGTAACCTTAAAAAACAGTGTCCGTAGGGACTAAGGGGAAAGAAGGCTTTCCAAGTGCAGAGGAAATGGGGAGAGGAGGAAGAGAAGGAAGAAAGAGCGGGAAAGTCACTGTGCTGAAGGGCCGCCCCAGGAAGGCCAGCCCTGGGGGTGGGGGTGGGGGGTGCAGGGCAAACTCACTGCAAACTTGGCCAGCACATAGGCTCCGGCTCCCACGCCGATGCCAATCACGTACTTGAACCTGCAGGAGAGCGAGGCTGGTCACTCTAGGGCAGTGGTTCTCAACCTTCTGGCCCTTTAAATACAGTTCCTCATGTTGTGACCCAACCATAAAATTATTTTCGTTGCTACTTCACTGTGATGTTGCTACTGTTATGAACCGTACTGTAAATATCTGATATGCAGGATGGTCTTAGGTGCCCCCTGTGAAAGGGTCGTTCGGCCGCCAAAGGGGTCTGTGACCCACAGGTTGAGAACCGCTGCTCTAGGGCAAACACGTGTAAAGAGAACTACTCGTGGAGAAGGATCGAAATTTTGTAAAGATGAAGCTTTCCCTCCAGGTCCTGGGACTGTAGGTGATAGCGTACTCTCTGTGCCAAATGTGTGCAGCTTTAAACGAAGGGAAAAAGAAACTACGTTTCCCAGGATCCCTTGTAGAGCTCGGACCCATGCACCTTCCGCAGAAACTGCTCACCGGCTGAGGCTGACTCAGGAGCCCACGCCCCTCCTGCAGCCAGGCTGTGAGGCAGAGGCTGAAGG